AACATCATTGAAAATAAATGATGTGATATATTACATATAAAAAAGGTAACAAATAAAAAAAATGAAGTATTTGAAAATTAAAAAATTTAATGATAGAAAGTAATAAAAATCTTAACTAAAAAAATTTAAGATTAACATACCCACTTTTAAAGAAATATACATATGAATATACAGATATATATATATGTATATATATTATGTATTTAAAAGTTCTAGTTAAAATATATGTGTATCATAAGTATGTTTTATATTTATCATTAGCCAGCTTCAATTGATAGTGTACATTAAGTAATTTTATCAGCATTTTTACTTTTGGATTTAATGAGAGTTAAAAGTTTTGTCATCTTTCTTACCCCTTATTTAGTTATTACAATACTAATAAAATAATTAAGGACCTTTCAAAGTATCTTGTTTGCTTTGAAAAAAATTAAGTCTTATCATAAATTGAACGCCAATTACATTTTTTTTTTTCCAAGACATCATCACTCATATTACTAAGCCAAACGGCCAAACATACAATAGAATTCAGAACAAAGCCTTAATAATGGGAGGCTACATTCACATACATGCAACCTAACCAAGATACTACACCGAACCACTAATAAGCAAATCAGCTAAAACCTACAAAGCAGACAATACATATGATCCGAAAATAAGCTATTGATCAAACAAGGATACACCACTGACACAAGACCTAGCATATCCCAATTTGCATTCACAAGCCTTGCTGAAATTCCCTCCAATCAAGAACTGCATTGTCTATTACTGTTTTAGCTGCGACATCTTTGCCCTCGAATACCCACAAGTTTCTCGCCTTCCATAGCCACCACAATATGTACGTGCTTAACTGAATGCGCTCTTCTGAGGTCTCCTTATGATCTAACATACTCAGCCACCACCACCACTCCTTAAACTTGAAATCCTCATCCTCAGCCGGTTTCCTCCATTGCACAGGGGATATTCTCCACACTAATTTTGCTCTGGAACATAAGAATAACACATGCTCCACAGTTTCTTCATTTTCACCACAGCATTTGCAGGTAGATTCCATCACCATTCCTTTGTTCCTCAGGTTACAGTTGACAGGAAATATATCAGTAAAACACCTCCATATAAAGATTTTCAGTTTACCTGCCACCTTGAGGTTCCAACACCTTAATCTTGCTCTCTTATTATTCTGGGCTAATCTGCTAGTTTCAGCCACACAGCTATTTCCCCTCTCCAGTCTACAGAGCTCCTCATAAGCTTTATTAACAAAAAATTTGCCTTTATCAACAAAAGAACATTTCCTCTGATCAGCATTGTTGGGGTTAAGAGATTTTATTGCCATAATTTTCTCAGCAACAACAGATGGAAATAATACATTCACCAGCACTTCATCCCAATCTTTACCATTGTTCCTCAGCAGGTCTCTCACTCTAAACTGACCACCTTCAATATTCACCCGAAGATCAGGCTTTTCCCCTCTCATCAAAGGAATCCATCCAAAATCATTGAGTCTAGTATCAACCCCATTTCTTATCACAATGCTCATATAATTTTTCAGACAGGGAATAAAAGCTGACCAAGAACTCCAGAGCCAAGAT